TGGACAGACATACACAGTCATTTTTGTGAACTGCGAATGTGATCATACGGCCCCTGCGTAAACTTTTTTGAGTATCCCCCCACTATCAATAAGGTAGAAAAGCCAATACTTATTATCAGAGCACATAAGGTGCTTGGTATTTTCTTGCCAATGCTTTCACACACCACACACTCTAGCAATCCAGAAATGCGAACAAGGCGCCCAGGTCTTGAACTGCTTAAGGCTTCCCTCCTCTCTGAGGCCAGCATTCTCGGTGGATTCTGACCGCCCTTTCCTGATGTGGTCTTCCGCTCTCTTCCCCAGTTTTCCCCTGTGCACTAGAATGCTTCCTCCTTTGCGCTCCTACAATGCTTTACTGATGGCTGTACTGCAGCACTCACCCCATTGTAGCTGAGTATGCTACAAATAACAGTGCACATCAACTCAGCAAAGAAATACATCAGGAGAAGTAAAGGTTTAGATGCCGGAAAAACTCACAGACTGGATGTTAATTCCCTAAAAGCTGACCAAAATTTAAAAAACTTTATTTAAAAAGTAACTAGAATATCAGTTCTTATAAAATGAAATTCTACACAAAGTCTTACAATTCACATTACAGAAGAATGTGTTCTTCATCTGATAAAGATGTTGCTTGCTTTGTAAAGGCTTTTTTTTTTTTTTAAAGACACACTTCAAACATTATAGAAACACCTGGCAAAGAAACCTGAGTTCCATTACCTACAACAGAGTTGTGCAATTTCTTCAATATCTGTTAAAGGTTAGAGAGGCAACTGGTAACTTATGGATACTTCTGACAGCTGTCTTATGCCACTTTTGTAAAGCAATAGTATGGGAAAGCCTTAGAGACTGCAAGAGGAGATGCTCATCAGGCTGATTAGCAGAGGAGTCCCGGGCATCATTTCAGGAGCCCGAGGGACAGCATTTGTGAAATGATAAATCTCTACAGATACGTCTGCTCCAGAAGGGCAAGGTATTTTATAATGTTTGTAGTAAAGGAGAAAGGACAGGAGAGGATCAGAACAAAAACATTAAGAGAGCTCCCTACTACCACAACCCAAATTTCTGATTTCTAGACTCGTGCAGATGACCAATTTATTACTGGGCACTGTTTATGCATCACACTGATAACGACAGGCTAGCTAAGGCTTATTACAAAAACTTAAGAACAAACAAAGTGGTAGAGCAAATCTCAGTTTTTTTTGCTTCTTTCAAATCTTCTAGAGTCCTTGTTATCTAATATCAGTGCAACTAAATAGCAATGTCCTTTAACAGGACTTTTACAATTTCTGATTCTCTGTGTAATTCATGAAGTCATGTGAAATACATCATGAAACTTTCTCACAAAGTCTGAAAAAGTTTCTCTTGCTATCACAGTCAACACTGTCTATGATATGTACAGTTAAGATGTACAGCTAAGGGGGGACTTGGCTCCAGTGAATCCCAAAACCAGGATGAAGTGTTATAACGAAGATTGGGAATCCATTTCTGTAAGTGACCACAAGTAAAAAAAAGAGTGTGGCTGTGCTGCAAAAGAACTTTATTTACAAAAACAGGCAGTGCCGTGTGCCTCCTTAGTGCAGTAGGCAGTGCGTCAGTCTCATAAAAACAGGCAGTGCCAAATTTGGCTAAACCACCTTGGCTTAAGTTGGGTGTCTTACTCTGTTGCTCAGGCTGCAGTGCAGTGGCACAATCACGGCTTATCGCAGCCTCGACCTCCTGGGCTCAGGCATCTTCCTGTCTCAGTCTTCCCAGTAGCTGGGACTACAGGCATGCGCCACGACGTGCAATTAATTTTCAGATTTTTTTGTAGAGACGATAACTTGCTATATTGCCCAGGCTGGTCTTGAATTCCTGGGTTCAAGTGATCCTCCTGTCTTGGCCTTCTAAAGTGCTGGTATTATAAACATGAGCCACCATGTCCAGCCAAAACCACCATTTTTTTTATAACACAATTACATTTCTAATTGAATAAAAGGGTTCTGATCAATCACTAAAAATATATATATTGCCAGTTGTTATCAAAGAATAATAAATGCTGTTTATAACCCCATATATTACAGAGAACCATAGATTATAATTTTGGAAGAAGTGAGATTGTGAGATATTAATAAGTCCAAAATTGTTTTGTGACTGGCCCATATTACCATCCCATGTGGATCTTGCTTTTTCTAAAGAAGGGCTCCCTCCACCTTCTTTTGGGTAATCTCTCCCACAAGAAGACTATACTCCATAGAAAAAATTTTTAAATTTACCATTAGATTTACTAACTATATTGTTATTTTTTTGATTTCACAGACTGGTTGGTTCATGCATACATTCATTAATTAACTCACTCAACAACAATAATGGAGCCTTTACTGGAATCTTCTCAGTTGCTACTTTCAAAATGTTTATATTCTAGTAGTTAAACCAACACCTATACACAATAGCTGTGCATGATACAAAGCAGACTGTTGCCAACACAAAATGAGAATACGCACACAGTACTGGGAGAGGCTAGACGAAGCAGTTATGTGTGGCTGGGAGAGTAAGGGGATGTGACTGGGGAAAGAGCTTCATGAAGGGGAGACCTCTGAGCTCAGTCTGGAAAGGAATCGGATGGAGAGGCTTTGGTAGTTACCTTGGGGTTTATTACTACCAGGTGGTTGGTTATGTGGAGTGTTGATGGCTTCTTGAGATGAACAGCAAAACATTACATTAGTCAATGTGTGGCTGCTCCATTCTCCCTTCCCCTAGTCAGTTGGGCTCTGGCACCGCTGGGGGTACAGGGTACGGAGAGAGAGGGAGCACCTGGCTGATGTGAAGACAGAACACTTTTGGGACATGCTTGGTATGAAGGGAAGCCTGAGGAAGAGCTGAATGGATTTTAAATAAATGAGAAGGTCTTTGATTAATACAACGGAAAAGGTTCTAAGGAACACACATGAAACAGAATGGGAAGCAAAAGAAAGAAGAGGGTAGTGAAAAACGCTACTTCTGTGAAGTGACTGAGACCACAGTCCTAAACTAACCCTGTTCACGGAGACTGACTGCAAAGCTCAGCTCACTGCAAAAAAACTTCTGTCTCCTCCTACTAAGTGCATAGTGCCTTGCTCAAATAATAGAGTCAGAATGTTCTTAGAAGTCGCTGTAGTTGAGTTAGGAAATAAGCTGCAATATAGTTTCCCTCCCCATGCATAAGTGAGGGTTTGTGTGCTTCTCTTCTCTTCTGGAAAGACCCCCTTGTCAGGCATTTTTCCTAGTCTGTAGAGGATTCTAAAAGGATTATGGTAGTTTAGAAGGACCTAGAAATAAAATCTGCTGCCACTACATAAAAGTGAATAATCCTGAAATTAATATTAAAATCTTCTGTATACACTCATCTTCCCGGCCACACTTGATGACAGGTGCTGATGGCCTTATGGCGGTAAGGACAAAGGAATGATGGTTTAGAACAGTGGGGGAATGGGGATGGCAAGATATGTTTCACTGTCATCTGTATAACAAATAGTTATCAAGGAGATATAACTATCTAGGCATTTACCCGGAAAGTAAGAAAGACAAACATAATCTTTATTTTAAAGCCTAAACAAAGTCTAGAAGATGACACATTTTGAAAATGTCAGAATGCTTAACTATTCTGCAAAAGCTCCTGGTTCAAATCAATAAACAGCAACTTAGCTGTTGAAAATACCCCCTGACATCAATTCAGAGAAGCTGCTACGAGTAGTGACTCCACGTTTCATCCACTTAGCCTTCTGTATCATTTTTTTCTTTCTTTTCTTAGACATGTCTTGCTCTGACAGCCAGGTCCCAGGGCTGGAGTGCAGGGGCGCGATCATAGGTGGCCTCGAATTCCTGGGCTAAAGTGATCCTCCTGCTTCAGCTGCCCAAGTAGCTGTGACTACAGGCATGTGCCATGATGCCTGGCTAACTTATTTTTATTTTTTTATAGATGGTGTCTCACTAAGTTGTCCAGCCCTGCTTGGAACTCCTAGCCTCACGTGATACTCTTGCCTCATGACTCCTGAGTTGCTGGAAGTACAGGCATTAGCCATGGTACTGTATCATTTCTTTATAAATGAGTTTGCCAGTGGTGCCTTAGTTACTTACTCTTTAGCAATGTGGGTACCTGGTGGTTCTTCTATGAAATGATGGCAGGGTACTGTGAAAATACTGAACTCATGGAATGAGGAAGTGGAATTCTTGCCTGCTTGCTACTAGTGCAAACTATGGTTAGCAATTTAAAATTTTCATTTTAAAATGTTTTTACAATATTCTCACAAATGTAAATGATTTCTGATAACACAAATTATATTGCAATATGCTTTCATTTAATAATGCATTTTAAAACGAGATTTTTTTTAATCTAAAATTCTTTCCAAGTCTCCTGATATGAGGAAAAAGATTTTCAGTAGTCTGACATTCGCTCAAAAGATGGTTTTAATCAAATGAATGCTAGCATCACCATGCGACAAGCTGGACAAAGAAAATGGCAGAAGCATAGTTGAGCAAATGTCAAACTACACGCTGTTACCGTAATTCAAATCAACTTCGAAAAGTAATACATAGATAACATCTCTTAAAATGTGCACATTTTTTGGCACCCCCTGTATTTTATAGGCTGTTTCTGATTTCAGATGTGTTTTTGTATATTTTGGGAGAACTAGCAGTCACTGGAGATAAAGAAACCTTCTCCCAGGTTCCAGAAGTGCATGCCTGTGGATCCAACTACTCAGGAGGCTATGGCTGGAGGGTCACTTGAGCCCAGAGTCCAAGGCTGCAGCGAGCTGTGATCGCACCACCGCATTCCAGCCCGGGCAACGCAGTGAGACCCTGATCACTCCCCACCCCACCCCCACGTGTGCACATGCACACACGTACATTACCCAAAACTGAGAGAACAGCTTAGCCAAAGAGGAAGAGAAAACTTAAATACTGCTAGAGCAGGCTTTATGTTCATTTTAATATATACCTCAGTAAAATGACGATTGAGAAACAAAATAAAACAAAAGCCTTACCTGCTACTGAATTTGGCCGTGGCATGAGATACAAAGGAATAGATTGCACTGACTGCGACAATACTGTTTCCAAATTCCTCTCTGGTATCTTATTCAGGCTATAGGTGGAGGCAGTCAGGTTTTCATCTACTCGATACAAACAGGAGTCCATGCTGGATTTTTGAGACTGCCAAGGCTTTAGGTTTCCTCCAGATCCCAATTCTTTACTGCTTTCCCCAACATATTTTGAGCGTTCCATGTTTTCAGAATAGCTTGTCAATGTAGCTGGGAAAATAAAAAAGCGCAAAATGAATTTAATAAAACCACAGACTTTACAGCCAACCGATCTTTGACAGAGTTGATGAGAACATACACTGAGGAAAGGACATGCTTTTCAACAACTGTTGCCGGAAAAACTGGACGGCCAAGGGCAGGAGGATGAAACTGGATTCCTGCCTCTCACTATGTATGAAAATCAACTCAAGATGAATTAAAGACATAAGACCTGAAATTATAGTATTAGAATAAAACTTAGGGGAAACTCTTCTGGATATTGGTCTAGGCAAAGAATTTATGACTAAGAACTCAAAAGCATGGGCAGCAAAAACAAAAATAAGACAAATGCGACTTAGATGTTTTTGCACAGCAAAATAATAATAATAATAATAATAATAATAAACAGCATAAAGAGGGAACCTGCAGAATGGGAGAAAATATTTGCAAACTATGTATTTGACAAAGGACTAACATCCAGAATCTACGAGGAACTCAAAGAACTCAACAAAAAACCATAAATAATCTTATTTAAAAGGGGTAAAGGACATGAATACACATTTTTCAAAATAAGACATAAAAATGACCAAGAGGTATATGAAAAATGGCCAACATCACTAATGATCAGAGACATGCAAATTAGAAAACTAAGATGAGATACCACCCTATACCAATCAGAATGGCTATTATAAAAAAGTCAAAAAAATAACATATGTTGGCAAGGATATGGAGAAAAGTTAACTCTTATATACACTGTTGGTGAGAATGTAAATTAGTACAACTTCTATAGAAAACAATATGGAGAGTTCTCAAAGAACTAAAAATAGAACTACCATTCAACTCAGTAATTCCACTACTAGGTATCTACCCAAAGGAAAAGAAATCAATATATAAAAAAGATAGCTGCACTTGTATGTTTATTACAGTACTACTCACAATAGCAAAGATAGGGAATCAACCTAAGTGTCCAGCGATCCACACACACATAATGGAATATTTTCAGCCAAAAAAGAATGAAAACATGTCTTTTGCAGCAACATGGATGGAGCTAGAGGTCACACTGTCTTACGTGAAGCACGTCCGATACATGTTCTCATAAGTGGGAGCTAAAAAATGTGTGCACATGGCCAAAGAGAGCGAGATGATAAACAACGGAAACTCAGAAGGGTGAGAGGGTGTGGGAAGGGGCGGATGATGAGAAATGACTTAATTGGCACAATATTCAGGTGACGGATACCCTAAATGCCCAGTATTAGGTTCCCTCATAAAATAAAAAAAGGTCTTCTAGAATTTTATCCAGTCTTACCACTAGTTATCCATAAACAGAAAACATTTTCATGTACCCCAGAAATTAAATCTAGATTATGAAGTTTTTTAGCAATGAGAATAAAAGGTACCATCCCAGGAGAGTTTTTACATGTTGATTCACTTTCTCTTCTGACATTTCAAATATACATACTGCCAAAAGAAAAGACCTAAGCATGTGAGGAAATTCCCATAAATTCTTTTTAATGAGGTTCTCTCTGAAAACTTAAATGGAGCTCTGGATTTTGTAGTAACAAGAGAAGAAAAAAAAACTATACAGGAAGACCCAAATTTTTCTTTAAGAAAGAAAATCTAACCTTGTTGTCACAAAAAGTAAAAGACTATAAAGTAAGAGACCTAAGTGAGCTAGGAAAAGGGAGAGAAGTGGGAAGAAAGAAGATTTTATACACTCGATCCTCAGAATTAATTGTGTATTGATAAAAGTTTGACAACTGGCTCTCTGAAAAGCAAAAAACAAAACAAAATTCTGATTTGTAGTGTTTGCTATCTCTGTGGTGTAAATGCTCACTTGGTAGCTGATTTCAAGCTGCCTATGACTTGATTACTGAAATCTTAAGAACGGGATCCCTCTAGTGCGAGCCAGCCACAGCCACTGCTAGTGGCCAGCCCTTATTCCTAAATTTAGGAATTTAGAAATTCTATGTCAGAAGCCAGGGACAAATACCATATACATATTTCTTATTATCAAATTGTCCTCAATTCTATCAAAAAATTTAAGCTAGTTGCTATTTACAGTACAGTGCGATACGGACAACTAGGTTAAACTGGTTGACAGAATGGTTTAGATCCTCTATGAGCTAACGGGTTTTCTATTTGTTCGATCAGCTACTAAGAGATGAATGCTGAAATCTCGGACTATGACATTCTCTTGCTTCAGAACTCTGTTATAAGGTGTATCAACATTTAGGTTTGTCATTTCCTCATAATAAACTGATCCATCTATTATTATGAAATAACTCTTATTTCAGACCATTCTTTGTTCTGAAATCTGCTTTGATAAACTTACTTCGGAAGTGGGTGAAGTGGGTGAAGGAGGGAGGTAAGGAGCATGCATTGTGGGCTCCAGGACTACAGAGAGTGGCAAGGCCTTCGCCTTGGCTTGCAAACCCTTTTGAAGTGTTTCTGGGAGGTCACAACTGACTGCCTCCTTGAAGAATTAGATTTAGACCTCCACCCTCCAGAAAGAGTTGAGAAGATCGTAACATCACACTCACAGGTGAGGCCAGATGTCAAAAGAGAGTCTTCCTGGATCAGGGTGGTGCAAGAATTAGACTACACTAGGTGTGGCATCTGCTATAATCTGATTGTGCCTCCCCAAAATTCATGTGTTGAAACGTAATCTCCAATGCGATCGCATTAAAATCTGGGGACTCCAGGAGGTTATTAGGGCATAAGGTTCCTACTCTCACAAATGTGATTATTGCCCCTATAAAAGAGGCCTGAGGGAGCCTCTGCCAGAGAAGGCATCCATAAGGGATGGGCCCTGACTAGACACTGAATGTGCTGGCACCTTGATCTTCCCAGGCTCCAGAACTGTGAGAAATAAATTCCTCTTGCTTATAAATTACCCACCCTAAAGCATTTTGTGACAGCACCCTGCCAAGACTCAGGCAGTGCCCTGGACATGCTCACTTGCCTGTTGTCTGACCAAGAGACACTCATGAGTGCTTGAACTCTTCTCCCAGAGCTTGGCTGTAGAGGTTGCTCCCTAGTCCTCTGTGTTGGCCATGGAACAAGTCCCCCAATGCGTCACTTCATGTGTATACTGTATGGCCTCTCTCCTCTGTCTCTAGACTTTGCTGTTGTCACTGAGCCCTCAGCTGCAGTCAGGCTGCTGGGTTTGTGCAACAGGAAGAGGAGAGGAGATAGAGCCACGCAGTTGCCTGACCAGCGTGGAGGGAGACAGCAGATGAGTCCTCTGCCAAGTCTCTCTGCCACGTCTCCAGCAGTGATCTCTCACCCCTGCCAAGCTGCAGCACCTTCTGGCCTCGCTCTCCCTTTCCTTCACTCTTGCTTCCCTAATTTGTATTCTCTTCAAAATGTCTTAAGACATGAACTTTTGTCTCAGGTTCCGTTTTCTAAGGACCATATGCTAAGGAAGTCCTGTTGATGAAAATGTTGGGAACCAGAAGCTACATATTCCTAAAGCTAATTCAAATGTTCAAGTCATATTAAGTCATATTTTTCCAACATGTGGCTTAAATTACTCACCCTAATTAAATTACTCACCCTAATTAAAAATTTATTCTGGCTGGTATGGTGGCTCACACTTGTAATGCCAGCACTTTGGGAGGTAGAGGTGAGAAGACTGCCTGAGCCCAGGGGATCAAGACCAGTCTGGGCAACTTGGCGAGACCTCATCTCTACAACAAATAAAAAAAATTAGCTGTACATGGTGATGTGCACCTGTAGTTCCAGCTACTTGGAAGCCTGAGGTGAAAGGGTTGCCTGAGCCCCAGCAGGTGGAGGCTGTGGTGGTTGTGAGTGTGCCACTGCATTCCAGCCTGGACAACAGAGTGAGATACCAACTTTTGAGCACTTTTCTTTCAGTAAGATCTGACTGAAATGCCATTTCACGTGGCATGAAGATGTAGTGACTCAGCTGGCTTTGTCATTCTTAGCTACAAGCTTGGAGTTCACACAGCTGCAAGGGACAGGACACTGAAAGCCAGATAATGTACACGCCTGCTTCCCAGGGGACTTGTCTACACGTACAATGTCTGTAATTTAACTCCTTGCTTTTTGTGGAGTTATTCTGTAGTGTCTGAGGATAAATTTTTTTCTTTAGGTTCCATGTCTGAGTTGGCAAAGATTTACTTGTCTCTGTGTGGTCTTATTCTGGTATATAGCCCAGACAGACCATGAACACATCTAATAAACTCCAAATATGGTAATATGCTTGTAAAGATCTAAGGAGGGAGTAATGGGCTTCACCGTTTTCAGTACTTCACAGAGTTATAAATAATCAAACATTTACTTGTGACTAGTTAGCTACAACATCAACCTCCTATAAACTTAGCAGGAATTTTATCAGGTGTGATAGTTACCTCAGATAGTAACTTTGGCAGATATATGTTTGTTATATTAAAAATGGGAAATAAATTACTGAATAATGAATAGAGTGATGCTAATAAATGTTGTGAAAACATAGGCTAGATCAATAAAAATGATGAGAGCAGTTCTGATAGGTGATGGAAAGTTTTGAGAACATCTGAGTTAATGTGTGGCACAAAGACAGTAGCCTACGGACCCTATTTCATTAGGTACAGGCTAAATTTTGTAATAAGAAAGACTTCCATTTTCCTAATGTGAGGAGAGCACTGATGTTATCATGCACTCCGGCTGTATTATCTGTATCAACCAAACATAGAATCTGTCATCACACAACCTATTTGCATTTCAAAAATAGAGTCACAGAGTATTGATAACCTTTTTCACCAGATAGAAAATGCATCTAAAACAGTCTCTGGCACACAGTACATGCTCAGAAAATGCATGTTTAAGAGATGAATAAGCATGTTTTATTGGATGCTGAATGGTCCAGAATCACTGGGGTACAGAAGGAGTGAAAACAGCTCACTCAAAATACCTGAAGCAAAATTATCTGGGTGGCCATTCCCATTTAGGAATCTTGTATAGTTTTGCTTTACTGAATGCACAGACTTGGGTGACATTTGGTTAATTCC